GTGCTTGGACAGCATTTGCATCTTTGCAGAAGTTGCATGCATAGGAATGTACACATGTTTATACGTATACATATACATCTGTATATTTATAGATATACGGCATACCCACTCTGAATAAGGCTGGATGACAGGGCAAGCCGGTGTATGTCACGCCATGTGTTTTTTCTGCAAGGTCAACACCTGTGTATGTCACGCCCTGTGTTCTTTCTGTGAGGTCAAGACCCGTGTATGTCACGCCCTGTGTTCTTTTTGTGAGATCAAGACCCGTGTATGTCACGCCCCGTGTTTTTTCTCCAACGTCAACACCTGTGTATGTCACGCCCGGTGTTCTTTCTGTGAGGTCAAGACCCTTAGGTCAACACCTGTGTATGTCACGCCCTGTGTTTTTTCTGTGAGGTCAAGACCCGTGTATGTCACGCCTTGCGTTTTTTCTGTGAGGTCAAGACCTGTGTAAGTCACGCCCTTTGTTCTTTCTGTGAGGTCAAGACCCGTGTATGTCACGCCCTGTGTTTTTTCTCCAAGGTCAACACCTGTGTATGTCACGCCCTGTGTTCTTTCTGTGAGGTCAAGACCCGTGTATGTCACACGTCCTGTGTTAGTAGGTGCGTGGGCCTCTTTACCTGTTGGGCATCCCGCCCGGTGCAGGAACTATATATAATATTCCTCGATCTATATATAAAAGTTCTCAGAACTATATATAAATTCTCCAGCAGATGATTCGAAATCGTTCCAGATAGTCCGGAACCGCTCGGAACCGTTCTGGACCATATATGAACCCGACGTTTATAAATAGTTCGGAACGGTTCCGAGCGGTTCCGAGCGACTTATAACCACTGTGGGGCTATTGTTGCTGCTTTGATTTGAGCGATGGTCGGCGATGGTGTCTCGCAGCGCGGTTATAAACAGTCCAGAACGGTTCCGAGCGGTTCCGGACGATGTATAAATAGTTCGGCCAGTTTTACAAAATAGTTCGGGGGAACTTTATATATAGTCCGGACGCATGAAATAGGTCCCAACAGACCCATGCCCATAAAGAGGCCCATGCACCCACTAAGTCCTGTGTTCTTTCTGTGAGGTCAAGACCCGTGTATGTCACGCCAAGCCCTGTGTTTTTTCTCTAAGGTCAACACCTGTGTGTGTCACGCCCTGTGTTCTTTCTGTGAGGTCAAGACCCGTGTATGTCACGCCCTGTGTTTTTTCTGTGAGGTCAAGACCTGTGTGTGTCACGCCCTGTGTTTTTTCTCCAAGGTCAACAACTGTGTATGTCACGCCCTGTGTTCTTTCTGTGAGGTCAAGACCCGTGTATGTCACGCCCTGTGTTTTTCTCTAAGGTCAACACCTGTGTATGTCACGCCCTGTGTTCTTTCTGAGAGGTCAAGACCCGTGTGTGTCACGCCCTGTGTTTTTTCTGCAAGGTCAACACCTGTGTATGTCACGCCCTGTGTTCTTTCTGTGAGGTAAAGACCCGTGTATGTCACGCCCTGTGTTCATTTCTGTGAGGTCAACACCTGTGTATGTCACGCCCTGTGTTTTTTCTGTGAGGTCAAGACCCGTGTATGTCACGCCCTGTTTCTTTCTGTTAGGTCAAGACCCGTGTATGTCACGCCCTGTGTTTTTTCTGTGAGGTCAAGACCCGTGTATGTCACGCCCTGTGTCTTTTCTGTGACCCGTATATATCACGCCTTGTGTTTTGTCTGTGAGGTCAAGACCCGTGTATGTCAGACGTCCTGTGTTCTTTCTGTGAGGTCAAGACCCGTGTATGTCACGCCCTGTGTTTTTTCTCCAAGGGCAACACCTGTGTAGGTCACGCCCTGTGTTCTTTCTGTGAGGTCAAGACCCGTGTATGTCACGCCCTGTGTTTTTTCTCTAAGGTCAACACCTGTCATATGTCACGCCCTGTGTTCTTTCTGTGAGGTCAAGACCCGTGTATGTCACGCCCTGTGTTTTTCTCCAAGGTCAACACCTGTGTATGTCACGCCCTGTGTTCTTTCTGTGAGGTCAAGACCCGTGTATGTCACGCCCTGTGTTTTTTCTGTGAGGTCAAGACCCGTGTATGTGACGCCCTGTGTTTTTGCTCTTAGGTCAAGACCTGTGTATGTCACGCCCTGTGTTCTTTCTGTGAGGTCAAGACCCGTGTATGTCACGCCCTGTGTTTTTTTTCTCCAAGGTCAACACCTGTGTATGTCACGCCCTGTGTCCTTTCTGTGAGGTCAAGACCCGTGTATGTCACGCCCTGTTTTTTTTCTCCAAGGTCAACACCTGTGTATGTCACGCCCTGTGTTCTTTCTGTGAGGTCAAGACCCGTGTATGTCAAGCCCTGTGTTTTTTCTCCAAGGTCAAGACCTGTGTATGTCACGCCCTGTGTTCTTTCTGTGAGGTCAAGACCCGTGTATGTCACGCCCTGTGTTTTTTTTCTCCAAGGTCAACACCTGTGTATGTCACGCCCTGTGTTCTTTCTGTAGGTCAAGACCCGTGTATGTCACGCCCTGTTTCTTTCTGTTAGGTCAAGACCCGTGTATGTCACGCCCTGTGTTTTTTCTGTGAGGTCAAAACCCGTGTATGTCACGCCCTGTTTTTCTGTGAGGTCAAGACCCGTGTATGTCACGCCCTGTGTTTTTTCTGTGAGGTCAAGACCCGTGTATGTCACGCCCTGTGTCTTTTCTGTGACCCGTCTATGTGTCACGCCTTGTGTTTTTTCTGTGAGGTCAAGACCCGTGTATGTCACGCCTTGTGTTTTTTCTGTGAGGTCAAGACCCGTGTATGTCACGCCCTGTGTTTTTTCTTTGAGGTCAAGACCCGTGTGTGTCACGCCCTGTGTTTTTGTTCTGTGAGGTCAAGACCCGTGTATGTTCTGTGAGGTCAAGACCTGTGTATGTCACGCCCTGTGCTTTTTCTCCAAGGTCAACACCTGTGTATGTCACGCCCTGTGTTCTTTCTGTGAGGTCAAGACCCGTGTATGTCACGCCCTGTGTTTTTTCTCTAAGGTCAACACCTGTGTATGTCACGCCCTGTGTTCTTTCTGTGAGGTCAAGACCCGTGTATGTCACGCCCTGTGTTTTTTCTCCAAGGTCAACACCTGTGTATGTCACGCCCTGTGTTCTTTCTGTGAGGTCAAGACCCGTGTATGTCACACGTCCTGTGTTCTTTCTGTGAGGTCAAGACCTGTTTATGTCACGCCCTGTGATTTTTCTCCCAACACCTGTGTATGTCACGCCCTGTGTTTTTTCTCCAAGGTCAATACCTGTGTATGTCTTGCCCGGTGTTCTTTCTGTGAGGTCAAGACCCGTGTATGTCACGCCCTGTTTTTTTTCTGTGAGGTCAAGACCCGTGTATGTCACGCCCTGTGCTTTTTCTGTGAGGTCAAGACCTGTGTATGTCGCGCCCTGTGTTTTTTCTCCAAGGTCAGACCCGTGTATGTCACGCCCTGTGTTTTTTCTCCAAGGTCAACACCTGTGCATGTCACGCCCTGTGTTCTTTCTGTGAGGTCAAGACCCGTGTATGTCACGCCCGTGTTTTTCTCTAAGGTCAACACCTGTGTATGTCACGCCCTGTGTTCTTTCTGTGAGGTCAAGACCCGTGTATGTCACGCCCTGTGTTTTTCTCCAAGGTCAACACCTGTGTATGTCACGCCCTGTGTTCTTTCTGTGAGGTCAAGACCCGTGTATGTCACGCCCTGTGTTTTTTCTCCAAGGTCAATACCTGTGTATGTCTTGCCCGGTGTTCTTTCTGTGAGGTCAAGACCCGTGTATGTCACGCCCCGTGTTTTTCTCTAAGTTCAACACCTGTGTATGTCACACCCTGTGTTCTTTCTGTGAGGTCAAGACCCGTGTATGTCACGCCCTGTGTTTTTTCTCCAAGGTCAACACCTGTGTATGTCAAGCCCGGTGTTCTTTCTGTCAGGTCAAGACCCGTGTATGTCACGCCCTGTGTTTTTTCTCCAAGGTCAACACCTGTGTATGTCACGCCCGGTGTTCTTTCTGTGAGGTCAACACCCGTGTACGTCACGCCCTGTGTGTTTTCTCTTAGGTCAACGCCTGTGTATGTCACGCTCTGTGTTCTTTCTGTGAGGTCAAGACCCGTGTATGTCACGCCCTGTGTTTTTGCTCTTAGGTCAAGACCTGTGTATGTCACGCCCTGCGTTCTTTCTGTGAGGTCAAGACCTGTGTATTCACGCCCTGTGTTTTTCTCTAAGGTCAACACCTGTGTATGTCACGCCCTGTGTTCTTTCTGTGAGGTCAAGTTTTTTCGTTCTGTTAGGTCAAGACCCGTGTATGTCACGCCCTGTGTTTTTTCTGTGAGGTCAAGACCCGTGTATGTCACGCCCTGTGTCTTTTCTGTGATCCGTATATATCACGCCTTGTGTTTTTTCTGTGAGGTCAAGACCCGTGTATGTCACTCCCTGTGTTTTTTCTGTGAGGTCAAGACCCGTGTATGTCACGCCCTGTGTTTTTCTGTGAGGTCAAGACCTGTGTATGTCACGCCCTGTGTTTTTTCTGTGAGGTCAAGACCCGTGTATGTCACGCCCTGTGTTTTTTTTCTGTGAGGTCAAGACCCGTGTATGTCACGCCCTGTGGTTTTTCTCTAAGGTCAACACCTGTGTATGTCACGCCCCGTGTTCTTTCTGTGAGGTCAAGACCCGTGTATGTCACGCCCTGTGTTTTTTCTGTGAGGTCAAGACCCGTGTATGTCACGCCCTGTGTTTTTCTCCAAGGTCAATACCTGTGTATGTCTTGCCCGGTGTTCTTTCTGTGAGGTCAAGACCCGTGTATGTCAAGCCCTGTGTTTTTTCTCCAAGGTCAACACCTGTGCATGTCACGTCCTGCGTTCTTTCTGTGAGGTCAAGACCTGTGTATGTCACGCCCTGTGTTTTTTCTCTTACGTCAAGACCTGTGTATGTCACGCCCTGTGTTCTTTCTGTGAGGTCAAGACCCGTGTATGTCACGCCCTGTGTTTTTTCTCCAAGGTCAACACCTGGGTATGTCACGCCCTGTGTTGTCTCT